TTTAATTACGTTTAATTTTTAATTAACGTTCAATTCTTATACTAATTATGGAATGATTTTTTCAACTGAATTTCAATCTAGTTCTTATAGTGGTGTATCTAAACTCCCAACTAATTTTAGTCAAGCAAACGATTTATTAAGCATTGATAACACAAAGAAATCTTATGTATCATGTAATTTATATTATTTTAGATTGTGTGGAAATATAATATGATATAAATATACAATTTTTACATTTTAGTATATTTACATACAGATCGAAGAATTTTTAATATTATTTAATTTAATATTAATAAACGATATCGTTATACAGCCGTTGATTATCAACAATCAACGGTCAACGATTAACAGTCGCCCTAGCAGAGTCGCAATCCTACATTCGCCCCTGCCAAGAGCTCGCTCAAAATTAGCATAAGGAAAGAAGGATTATACATAAACCAAAAAACCTGGAAGCAGGAACCAAAATTTCAAATTAATCTTTGCACGAAGAACACAAATTATAGACTTATAAACTAAAACTCCAACGGAGGAAGTCGATGGCAGTCCATGGCACAGCGGATGGCAGCTCACAGCAACTCACAAGTTCACAGCGCCTAGAGAGAATAAAAGAAATGGAGGAAATTGGGTGAAAATTGAAATCAATTCCCGTGACAGAAAATTTCATAAGTAAGAGATTACCTATCATCTATTTCCAAAGTAAGAAAAAAGGTTACAAGTTCCAAAAATCTGATATTTATTAAAATATATTTATGATTTATTTAATTAATTATATATTTTAATAATTAAATATATTAAGGTCACATTTCTATACAAGTTGATCACAAATTCACAAATTTAGTTAGCTACATATTATTTTTGGACACAAATCAAAGTTTTTATATGTCATAAATTCTTTTATGGTCACAATTTAAAAATTTTATAAGTCACGGTTTGTTCATCGATCATGGATAAAAATTTTATACGTCACAATTTTATTTATTAGTCACAGACCACACATATTATAAGTCACAATTTATTAAACAGTCACAAATTAACAATTTTATAGGTCACATGTTATTTCTTGGTCACAATTCCTTTTTCTTATTGATCACATGTTGTTTATTGATCACAAATTAAATCATTTGTGATCGCCACCAACACTTGTGACAACTACTGCCGCCTGCAACATTGATGTCGCAACTGCCATCACAAAAACCACCGCCACCATCTCCCGGCAGCCCTGTCATCTCAAAACACCGCAACGAGCACCACCTTACCACCAATAAACCAATTAGAAAATCCCAACACCCCACAAAATCGCCAACAGACCAAATGGAGGCTCCACCACCATCAAAACCAGCGCGGCGCCTCCACCACCACCACAACATCACACCTCTCTATACACATAGATCAAGATCTAACCATGATCGGAGTTGTAGCAGCTACAAATTAGCGCTATGCGACGTGTACAGATCTAGGCAACTCCATCCGATCGCTCCGATGCTGAGCCTCAATGCCCGAGGTGTCATAGCAGAACAACCCCAAACTTTCACATCCACCACAAATCCACAATTCCACCCCACTCAACCACAAATTCACCACGTCCCCATGAGCAACGACAGCACTATGCGATGACGAATCTGGTCATCATAGTCGCTCGCTGGAGAAACGATGGGAAGGGAATGAGAGGGGGAGAGAGGACGCAGAGAGGGAATATATTTTAGGGTAGGGTGATTTTAGGAAGTGGAAATGGATTTTAATTTTATAACTTTATTATTAATATTTAAAAAATGTCATGATTATTTGATTATTTGATTTTTGAATTTAAAAACTTTAAATCTTAACTTTGAATTAATAATTTGAAACCTCTACTTCTTGTAAACCAACATCTGAATTTGGGCAATGGCTAATGGGCCTTATGTTATTAAAAAATGGGGGCCCAAAACAATTTCAGCCCACTACTTTGAAATTAAAAAGGCCCAAACTAATTTCAATTCTTTTTCTTCATTTTGTCCCTGCGCCATTTCATAGACAGTCGTCAAATCTATGGCAATTTCGGCGGAGCCAGGATGACCAGCTGCGCAAGCTCACTGGGTGCTGGCTCCACCACGCATAGTGGTCCAATTGTAATATGATATGTTTGGAAGAGTTTTACTTATTTATTCTTTTGTTTTAAGCAAAAGCCCAATTTAATTAGTATAGACTTTTGACATTTAAAATAGGAAAAATTACCTAGAAACCTAGGTTTAAATATCCCTTTTCAGTACCAAGGGGGGTTAACTTTAAATTTCAAAACTCAAGTGCTAATTAAATTTTAATAATTATAATCAATAAAAAAATTAGTTAAACCTATTTTACATACCATCCACCCTCACAACTTCCATTTCATCACCAATTTAAACCCTAACTATGTCTATCATCTTCTCTCCTCTTACTTCTCTCTACCAACTAACCTACTCATCCCTCAACCATAATCCCTAGCAGCATTGGAAGCTTCACTGTGCCAACAACATCATCGTTGTCGAAAACGGTGACTCATAGAGCTGAAACAGGCTGCGATTTCGACGATACTTCCAGTAGCAGAGGCAGTGGCGGTGATGCATGACGTAGCAGCAGCACCGTCGAAAGCTACACCAGCAGTGTGGCATACATCCGGCAATGCCACTATATTTTTCGGTGCCTCTGCAAATGCTATTTCAGTGTCGACGCCTCTACTCCAGCGTCGGTACACACAAATCGCGATGATGCGCTTTTTTGTCGACGCCTCATCTTCGTGGATATGGTGGTATTGATGACGTGGATGGTGGTGGATTTGGTGGCCACGACAGGGGTAGAGGTGGCGACGACGACTTTTTTGTACATTGTCGATGTGCAATAGTGAGGAGGTAGTTGTGGTGATTTGTAGATACAAGCCGTGGTAATGGTGCAATGGAGGTGGTTTTGAGGCGATGGTTTTGTTGGATATGGTGGTGATTGATTTCTGTTGGTGGTAGTGACGGTGGATATGTCGGTTGGGGGCGGTTTTGTTGAATATGGTGGTGGTGGTCTTTGTCACCGTGCTTGGATAGGTTGTATTGGTGGTGGTGTGGTGCGCTGTGGTGCCAATGGTTTCTTTTGATGGTAGCACATGTGGTTCTGGTGAGGTTGTGTTTGCCAATGTTGGAAATGGTGGTGAGTAACCAAATCTATCTTTGTTGTGACCGTCTGTGACCATATTTGTGTTAACTGTGACTATATGTGACTTGATTATATATAGTTACAAATCAGAGTATTCTGGTCACAGACAGTTACAATGAGGATAAATTTGATCATGAACACATAAGGTCACAGTTCATACGTTACGGGTTACAATTCACCATTAAGGTCACAAGTACATTGGTAACAAGTTTCAACTCACATGTCATAGTCTTTTATAGAAGTCACAAATTAGTATAAACGGATCACAAATCAATATTAACAGGTTACATTTCGTTTTGTAGAAGTCACAGATCCAATTTATAGGTCACAAAATTTATGTTACGAGTCACAGGTAACAAATCACAGTTAAAAATTATATTTTATATATCACAATGTACGTAGGTCACAAGTTATTGTTCAAAAAAAGGAAAAAAAAAAGAATTTATGAATTTAATATATTTAATTACAAAAATATTTTTGATTAATTATTTCATAATTAAAATATTAATAGCATCTGATTTTTTATTTTTTAATTTTGAAATTAATTACATGCATATTCATCTCACTTAATTAGGTCACGAATCTAATAAAATTAGTTATAAATCATTGTCAAAATAAAAATAAAAGAGAGAGGCACATCGTCAGTTGCCAGAATGGTCGTCAGAGTCGTCGTCGGAGAGATTGCTGGAGGCAGTCGATATTGTTGTCGGAAGTGGGTTCACCGGAGAAGTGGCCGGAGGTATCGCCGGAGAAGTCGCTGACGGTGGTGGGGTTGCCGGAGGTGGGATGGGGTGGAGAGAGAAAAAGAACGGTTTGAATTTAAATTTTAAAATTTGGTGGGGTGGGGCAGGGTAGGTAGATTGATTATATTATATTACTATTAAATATTGAATAATTACATTTATTACCTGATTTGTGCAAAATTTTGAGAAGTTTGTTAGTTTTGAAATATGAATTTATATGCAGGACTTATGTGGTATTCCCTTTAAAATAATACCTTTTATTGAGCTTATTGTGAGCAATGCTAAAATATTTTCTAAGAGTGCACCACATTCACGATTCATCAACATGTCATCGCAACGTAAATTATTGGCCCAAATACACCGAAGGTCACTCAACTTTGAGCAAGGTATATTTAGGTCATTCATTTTTCAATTAGTGCAATCAAATTATCTAATTTCGATTTGCTAATTTTTAATTTGGTGCAATTAACTCTCCGTATTTTCTGATTTGCTTGCAGATTTGGTCACTTTGTCAATTATTGTCCCTTTAACCAACGAAATAGCTAGCATCAATGTTAAAATAATGAGTGCTGAGACGGAAAAACGCGCCTTAAGTTTATATATATATATATAACACAATAATGTTAGGCATTTTTCTATAGGCTCAAACATTTCAATTTGAACAAAGAAAACTGTTTGGGCATATTGATTGTTCAATTTTTAAGCGTTGAAACACATTATAAAATAATAAATTTATATTTACTTCGAATTAGTAATAAAAAAATTAAAAAAGTCTATCTTTATGGTAGTTTACAATTTGGGAGTGTACTTCATATATTCATTTTATTGCATCCAATTCGACTTTGAATGACCCTTCACCTTTTTCGAGTCCATGTCTCGATTTTCATTATATTAATTAAAATCAAAACTTATTCTGCTGAAAAATAAAGAGAACACTGTAGATTAATGTTTGTATCTAATTCAGCATTTTGTTCGTATATTGCTATCTAATGCTGCATACCAAGTATGCAATTGGAGAATTTCAAACTTCTCCAACAAGAAAAAACATAAAACTAGGTATATCATATAAGCATGAAAACAAAACACATCTAAGGAAAAAAGGGAAGGAAAACTATAGGTGCACACTAATTTCGAATAAATATATTTCCACAGGGTTCATAATTGCCAAAAATAAATTCGCTTAATCCAACATCCACATCCATTTAAGCTCTTATTCAGCAAAGGGAGAAAAAGGTACTTCTAACAATTCTACAATCATCACGAAGCTACCATGGCAAGAACATTCATGGTCATAAATAGGGCGCGTATGAAAGATTTAACTAAGCCTGCCAAGAATCAAATTTCTCCATAACATTAAACATTGCAGTCGAACTACTTAAGCCAACTCCTCAGTCAGCTCTAGACTGGCCAGCTCGTGAAGACAAAATAATTCCAACGATTAAACCATAAAGGGCTAAAGCTTCAGCGAAGATGAGAATAAGGATCATCCCAACAAAAAGCTTTGGCTGCTGTGCATTAGCCCTGCAAAAGTACGGGTTCTGAGTATGAAGCATAGGCAAATATCAAATAAAACTGAAAACATTTCAATGTGTGCCTCGAGTTCATGTAAAACAATAACAGAAGTAAACGAGTTGGGATTAGCAATGACAATCAACTATATTATTAAGCCCCCAATTATTTCCATACCTTTCCCTTTTTTGGGTTTGTCTATTTGGGAAAAAAAATTGGAGCGCTACCGAGAAATAATGTAACAGACGCTCGTCATAGTGGGTAAATCACAAGAGTTAACATTTTCCTGGCCATAAGCACATGGAAAATGAAGCTACGCAGTTTTCTGAATAAATTTCAGAGCACTAGATGGCATCCATATGATTTATATTCTAATACACAACTCCAGAACATCTTTGTGACATGCCAAGAATTTGATTCACCAAAAATTTTCAGAAGGCACAACCAGGAGAAAAATGCTCATCATTATTGACACTCTACCAAACCCTTGAATACTTTATAACTTCAAGAAATGATAATTTATTAACCACTAATCGATAATGTGCAAAAAGAATTGGTTTCCTCCTAACTTAGACAAGCAGCTACTTGAATCAAATGAAGTTCCAAAGAGAATTCCTGAAGCTGTTTTCAATATATTAAGAATAAAGCTCAATAGTTTGTTATTGTTAATTATTATTTGGAAAGAGATGAAAGAAAATACATATCTTAAATTTGTATTTTTGAACATGAGTTCGAACTCATTTTCACCTATCACCTATGATTTTTATTCTTCATTTTAAAAAGCAAAAACTGCATAACAATCAAAGTTATATTCTTATTCATCTAAAAATGAAGAAATACGACTTAAAACTTGGAGGTATGGAAAAACTTCTAATAGTTTTTGATTCAATGAATACTAAGGTCAACTGTGGCTAATAGCAGCCAGGCAAATTTCTGAAATGAAATAATAGTAAAGTAACAACTACTTTTACCACTTAAGCCAGTAATTGGACTAATACTAGCTTACTAAAGCCATATAACAAATAATTGATTGATCATGCCATTAGACCAAGAGCAGAGCACAATTATGTTACAGCAAAACATCATATTACAAGAATAAATACCGCTCAAATATCAGCCCCCCGTTTGGCCCCCATTAATTTTGATTATAATGGGGGAATAAACTTTTTTCTTTTTTTTAATGTGTAATATTATTTTATTGAAGATTGTGTGGTTGAAAATAAGAGAGAGAATTTTAATTTAATTTTATGAGATGTAATGGGAGCCAAACAGGGGCTCAATTAGTGCAAAAAACCAAAAAAATTCTCACAAATAGCAAGACCATGTTAATCAGTAGATGTCTCGTGGCAGAGTTAAAGGGCAAACAAGGAATGAAATTTTAATAAATTCCAGTAAACAATGAATAGCAAAGAATCCCCCCCCCCCCCCCCCCCCCCCCCCCCCCACCACCATTAA